TAACTTCCGATTGCCGTCTAATGTGTGTTTTGGCCATGTAATGTTGCTGAAATTAAATATGTTATTACCTCTGAGTCAGAGCAGCGATCATGGAAGAGAGAACACAAGCAGACAGCGCTGGAAGCTGCTAATGCTCATCAGTAAATCAGTGGAAAATAAATAAAATCATGATTCTGTCTGAGCTATGCTGTTTAAAATGAACAATAACTAGTATAAATGTAGCCTAACAGATGTGTAAACTGAAGACTATTTGAGCTTTATTAAAACTATTTTGCACTGATTTATTGTGTTGGTTACATTTTGTTCCTTTGTGCAGTGGCTCAGGAGATGAGTCTTCGAGTTTGTATAAATATCAACAAGCTGAAAAATAAAACCAAAGTTTTTTTTATTTAGATAATGTAATCTTGTTAAAATTTATTTCATAAAATTGGTATCGAAAAAAGTATCGTTCAGGAACCGGTATCGAAGTCAAGGTATCTGTATCGGTATCGGTATCGATATCGAAAATGTTTGAACGATACCCAGCCCTATGTGACTGTTACATTAATTTGGAAACAAAGGTTTACAAGCAACGAATCAGATTTGTCCAAATATTTATTTTAATATTAAGATGTAATTTTCTAATCAGTAACACTGTGGCAAACTAGTAATGTTTTCTTTTCAGGAATTACATTTTTTTTATGAAACTTTTTTCTTCATTTTGATAGCCCCCCCTCAAAATGATGGCATGGTGGACGAGGGAGGCTTTTAGATAATACCGCTCTAGAGATCCTGCTGAGGAGAAGATGAAAAGATTCTCAACGGTGCTAAGAATCTACTCCGCTTTCCAGTTGTGTGCATTTCATTAGAGATCATCATGCAGTTTCATTGAACTCTATATATAGTTTTAAAAGGCTTAAAAGCAATTTCAAATGCTTAACATTTTATGTACACCTTTGTGGCTGATATATGAGACTGAAAGATGTTCCTAAAACAGTCATGAAAGGACTATTAGCCAATAATTATCATATACTGCCTTATATATACTTCTATTATATAGTGGGATCTGCATTGTTCTGAAAGCAGAACTAGTGCTGATATGACCGAAACCTGATGTTCTCCAGTATGGTTTGAGATGTAACGCTTCATTGGAAGCAATAACATCTGACCATCTGTACAAAGAGCTCATGTTGTCAGTGTCACAAATGTGCTTTTTCATTAGTTACATTCAAATGTTACAGAATCTTAAATATTTCATCTTCATTGTATGGTTCCTTGTTTTACATTTATAAAAATCCTAAAACTTTGTTTATTTCCAGGGTTTTGGTTCCCAGAATTTGAATGTGGTCCCAGACTTTACGACCCCACTGTATATATCCTTATATAAATACAAATTGTATATTTCTATTTTGCACATTATAACATTAAATATAATAACTAAACGATGTACTGTATTCCAAGTCATCTCCACTATAGTGGTCATTTGCAGCTCATTTTCCAATTTGCACTTCACCATAATTTATTTATTTAATACATATACTGGTACAAAATGTATAGCCTGAATGCACTGTAAGTCATTTTGGATAAAAGCATCTGCTAAATGCATAAATTATTATTATTATTACAATTATTTGCTACGCTGCTGTATTACTACGACTCGCACTTCTGGTTAGACCTACTCTACACAAGCACAATAAAGTTGAATCGAATCTAATACAATATTTATGATGCAGAAAAATAATATATTTTGAAATTCATATACATTCCCTTCAAAAAAACATCTTTATATATTTTTTTCAGTTGAGTTTATTGTTTTCACATTTCAGTTTTAATTTTAAAGTTTTATAATCTTCTTGTGTGCTTGTCATTTTTCTTAGTTTTTGATTTTTAAATGTCTACATAGTTTTCATTATTTTTTAAATTTTAGTTATTTTAGCACATCAAGGTAACTTAAATTAACTTTTTAATATAAAATAATTTCAAGGTTTTTTTATATTTTATTTTATTTTATTTCATGTTTTAGTTTTGCAAAAAAAATGTTCCCAAAATAATCTTGAAATGACTATTAGCCAATATATATATATATATATATATATATATATATATATGAAATGTATATTAGAAAATATATATATATATATATATATATATATATATATATGTGTGTGTTAATCATATACTTCCTTATATATTATACAGTGGGGTCTGTCATTTTTCTAATGTATTTTTTTTTCATAAGAAACGAACATGAACATTTTAATGGAAAAATAACATGAATCTGTATATCCATATTATATGTCATTCTGCATTATACTATTCTAAACTAAATAACGTACTAAATATCATGTTTTCTGCACTACCACATTAATTTGTTCTGTCATTTGTACCTCATTTTCAAATTTGCACTTTACCATGATTTATCTATAGACTACCACTGTATATCCTTATATAAATACAAATTGTATATTTCTATTTTGCACATTATAACATTAAATATAATACACTATGCTGTAATACTACTTCTGGTTAGACTTGCTCTGCACAAGCAGATAAGGTTGAGTCTAATCTAATAAAATATATATGATGAAGAAATATAAGATTTTGAAATTCACACTGTTCTCTTAAAAGAAAAAAAAACAGTATGCATGAACTATAATCTACATATGAACATGCACTTTTTCTCCCTTTTGAAGTTGATAAACAGAATCAACAGGTGGCATCACCAGGCTGGCTGTCTGCCTATATTCACAATAGGCTACATAACATCAGTGAAGTAATGAAGGTTTGGATGGAGACAGGTTTGATGGATGGTTATGATTATATTCCTACCACAGAACTCGAGGTGTCTCACTGACCAAGATCACAGCACAAAGGCAATGATTTATGTGTCATTATACGATTGCATATGCATAATTGAATCAGTAATGCAAATCATCATCAGCACTTTGTTCCGGTTAATTTGATGGACAGCTTCATAACAACACTGATCAGATTTAAGTGTCACCTACTGTGGGCTCTTTGGATAGAAAGGCAGGGTGACATGATTGAGGTCTTGAATATCAAAGGCTGTAGGTTCGGCAGAGATCGCCTGTCTCTTGGTCCTCTGCTGCTCTTGAAGGACACTCTGCTTGTGGACTTGTTGTGTTGCCGGTCTTATAACGGATCGGTATTTGTCTAACTCATTCTGAAGCTTCTGGATGAGTTCATCTTTCTGGTCCAGCTCCAACTCCAATTCATCAATCAGCGCGTCTCTCTGTCTCAATTCTTCAATCTTCTCCTGTAACGCGTACTGGAGATCGCGTAATGTGCCCATTTCTCCCCACAGTTAACGATCCGGAGTCGTTACCAACTTGGTGAACGGTCAGTTTTCGGTCATGAAATTAAAGCAAACCGCTTTCGGTCGTATTTTCCGTGGTAATGTCGCCCAAAAAATTGCCGCGCCGATCCACCGGCGTGCTTTCGGATTATTTATACCGGAGGAATGCGCGCGGAAACACCCACAGCGTCTGCAAAGATCACATTCGGGAGACGAAGAAGTTTCACAGGGCATTCATTTCTTGTCCAAATACGTCAGTCGCAGCTGTCGAGCGCGAGTGGAACGCCATGAGCGCGCAGTGAACGCGTCGTGAGAGCAGCACGCTCGTGGCTCCCCGATGAGCCAATGAGGAAAGACTCAAGTGCGCACCTGTAACAGCCGCTGAGAGCCTTCAAGTGCGCTACCTTACACAATACACAAGCACGTGAGCGCATTCAAACAGTAGTTTCAATAACAGTTCCTTTACGCTAACTTTACGCACTTCCTAAATTATCCCTATTAAAATACAAATAATTTTTACTCATTTATACTTCGAAAATATGCACATCAGGCATCAAATTAAATATGCACACAGCAAATACCTCACAGAAAATACCTATGCCACGTTTTAATTGAACTTGCTTTTTGCACTTTTTAAGACGTAAAAATGTTTCTCATCATTTACCTTGAATTACAATAAATTCTTTCAAATCTGCTCTAATTTTATGAGTTTTAGCTTGTCAGAAATTATTAAATTCATCCAACGCTCAGAAAGAATCATTGCATTTTAAGAAGCAAGATGTACATTTAGACTGTACATGACCAAAATGTCATTTTCAGATGTTGCAACTATAGTGAAGGTTATTTCAAATCATATTTAAAAAATAATAATAATAATTCCCATTGGCTATAAGCCAATTAATGCATTAATTAATTTTGGTAGTTAGGAAATCATAATTACTAAAAACTTAAATCTATTGTAATTTATCTTTTTATTATTA